CTAACCTGGAGTTTTGGAGCTAATCTGGGGTTTAGTTAACCTGTGGTTTTATAGCAAATGTCTGGTTTAGCTAATTTGCAATTTATGAACTAAAACAGGGTTTAGCTAACATGAGATTTAGGAGCTAAAATTGGGTTCAGCTAAACTCTAGTTTAAGATATAAACTGGGTTTAAATAACTTTGATTTTAGCTAGTCTAACAATTCCGAACTAAAATAGCGTTTTAGCTAAAGTGTAGATCAGAAAATCTTAGGTTTAGGTAAAGTGTAGATTTAAAACCAACCTGAGCTTTAGCCAACCTGTGGTTCAGGAGCTGATTTAGCAAAACACCAGTTTAGCTAAATCCAATGTTTCTAATGCTTCTGAGAACACAGAGTTTAGCTAAGCTGGGTTTGAGACCAAACATGGAGGCTAATTAAAGTCTGGTTTAAGAGCTAACATGGGGTTAAGCTAACCTTTGATTATAGCTAACCTGGGGTTTGGAAGCTTAACCTGTGAAAGCAGAGGGTGTGAAGGCTGGAATTAAACCTGCAACCCTTCCTACTGCAGCCTTGGGTCGGATCTGTATTGCAGAGGTCAGGCAGAGGTCATGCAGGGGTCACGCAGAGGTCAGGCAGAGGTCAGGCAGAGGTCATGTGGAGCAGACTTGCAGACCCACAGCTGACCACTGGTGGTCTGCAGGGATCCTCCGTCTCTAACTGGGTTTACTGGTTCTGCTCCCAGTCACACAGAGGAGGGAGGGGCTCCATGTGGCAGAGACAGGAAGTGGCCTTGGATTGGACAGGATGTGGAAAGTGCTGCCATGATGTCATCAGCATCCCAGCAGAACCTCCGTCTGTCTTTGACCTCTGACCCTCCCTGCCGCCTGTCGGCCACAGACCCGCTTCCTGCTGGCAGCGGGCCGACCTCTGACCTCTGATAGAATAACAGGAACCGAGCCGTCTGTGGCCTCATCCGACCCGCGTGGCGAGGAGCAGAGACCGGACCTGCTGACAGGTGGCGGGTCGCCTCTGGAACCATCAGGCCCGTTCTGATGGTTCTGACAGGTCCGGATGGAGGGTTTGCTCCTCTCTGCTGGTTCTGGCTTCCAGCAGCATCTGGACCAGAAACAGCTCCTCCGGTACCAACCGGGCCCCAACAGAACCGATCAGAACCATAGAGCAGGATGGACACCTGAACCAGGGTTATAAAGTTTGGACCGGACCAAACCAGGACCAGAACCACCACAGAACCAAAGCCTCCAAACGGATCAGAACTCAGGATGGGTTCTTCCAGAACCAGAACCGACCCGGATTGGAGCTCTCACCTCTGCAGCGCACGTCGCCGTCTCCGGCCTCGTATCCGGGGCGACAGGCGCAGCTGGACAGGGGCTGCCCCACCCACTGGCCGTCCTGGCCGCACAGCATGCTGGGAAGCTGGAAGGCCTCGCCGGGCGGCGTCACCGCGTTCTCCACGCACACCCCCTGAGCCTGAAACCACAGAAGAAGAAGAACGCTCAGGGCCGCCGCCGCTTCCCTACACCTCTGCTGCCGCGTTGCCGTGGTTACCTGCTCCACCAGCGCGTGCGGGACGGTTTCGGGGAAGGAGGCGAACGCGCGGCGGACGGAGGGACACTTCCTGAAGAAGACGCGGACGGACAGCAGCGCCATGCAGGTGCCCTGGCTCTGGAAGGCCAGGTAAAGCCCCGCCCCCTTCAGCCCCTCCAGCCGCAGCAGCTTGACGTTGGAGCGGCGCTGGCCGCCGCGCCGCAGCAGGTGGTCGGCGGCGATGGTGGACACCTTGGTGTAGGGGTTCTCCATCCAGGCGGGGTGGGTGGGCGTGGCCTCGTCGCCGTTCGCCTCGTAGTAGAACAGGTTGAAGGTCTCCTTGCAGTGGCGCTGGTTGATGGAGGCGCACTCCATCATGGTGAACCTGGGGGCGGACAGAGGGGTGACATCACTTCCTGCCGGCGCGCAGCTCAGCGTCGGCAGGCGCTCCACCTACCGGATCTCCACGTAGAGCGTGGTGGCGGCGCGGCGCGGGATCCAGCGCGTCCTCAGCCAGTAGGAGGACGGGCTGTCCGTGGTGCAGATCTGGAAGGTCCGGACCGAGTTCTGGTCCTCGTCCAGACCGCTAAGCTCCTCCCACTGCCAGGGGAGGGAGGGGCGGCGTCAGCAGCGGCAGCACTGATTGGCTACAGCACAGAGGGGCGGGGCTTACCTGCTGGTCCTCTGCAGGATGGTTGGTCCAGCGAAGGTCCGACGTCTCCAGCTTGGTGTTCATCAGAACCTCTGCAGAACAAACGGGCGGGTCAGAACCAGAACCAGAACCAGAACCAGAATTCCTCTCCAGAACCCTGTGGTCTGATGGAGAACTAGAGGTTCTGGCCTTTGACTGGGCCATTCTGGTTCTGATCCACCAGGATGGGTTTGGATCCTTCCCATCATCCCACAGCATGATGCTGCCACCACCGGTTTGCCCTCCATTCTATAGATAAAGCAAAAGGTTCTACTGGTTCTGTAGATCTGGGCGGAACCATCGGCCCAAAGTAAAGGCTTCAGTGGAACCGGTTAAACCGGGTCGGAACCGGTTCCTGCAGGAAGGAGGAAAGCTGAAGGACAGCAGGCCATTCAGAGGTTCTGGTTCTGACGGACCGGTCCACCTCAAACAGAACAATAACCACTAACTGGACCTTGGGTCAGAACCGGTGCAGCAGAACCGGTACTGCCTGCAATAGAACTACAGATAGTACTATAATGTAATGGTTCCAGTACTTCCTGCAGCAGTTGTAGTTCAGAGCGGGTCAGAACCCGGTCCCTCAGAACCATCTGGACCCGTTCTACCCTTCAGATCCACTGAGAGCTCTGACCCGGTCCCTGACCCAGAAACCGGTCCATCTTTCCCTGCCCGTCTCCTTTTATCTGTAAACAGCCAATCAGAGATCAGAGAGCGTGACCACGGCACCCAGACGCCATGGCAACGGAGACGGGATGTTTACACAAGCAGAGGCGCTGAGAGGCCGACATGTGGGAGCCTGTCTGACTGTGGGAGGGCTGCTCAGAACCAGAACCAGATGCTGGACCAGAACCAGAACCAACCGCTGGACCAGAACCAACCGCTGGACCAGAACCAACCGCTGGACCAGAACCAGCTGCTGGACCAGAACCAGCTGCTAG